AAGGACTTAGTATTAAAAAGGTGGACAAAATGTATGAATGATGGGGAGTTTCAGCTATTAAAAAAGGGTCAGATGAAAATTCTAAACATGAAAACACAACATCAGAGATAAAGAATTACCCAGACAGACTTGTTCAACAAATGGGACAAGCAGAAGAAAGGATAAGTGAATTTGAAGATAGAAAATTTTTATACAAAAATGAAAAAAGAACAATCAGTAAAAAAAAAACCCAAGAGCTATGAGACAATACCAAATTGCCTGACATAAATGAGACTGAGTGCCAGAAGGAGAAGAGACAGAATAGGGCAGATGAAGTATGTGAACAAATCACAGTCAATGAGAGAAACAGACAAAGCAACAATTATAGTTAGAGATTTCAACTTTTTTCTTGCCAATAATTGGTAGAAAACTTAAAACAATAGCAACTCGACCTAATGCATAGAATACTGCATCTCAGAGAATTAACTTTCTTTTCAAATGTTCATGAAATATCCAAAAGTAGACCATATTCTAGGCCACAAAAACTAATCTTAAAAAATTTAACAATAAATCGGGTAGAGAGGGAGGTGGGAGGGGGGATCGGGATGGGGAATACATGTAACTCCATGGCTGATTTATGTCAATTTATGACAAAACCCACTTCAATACTGTAAAGTAATTAGCCTGCAACTAATAAAATAAATGGAAAAAAAAAACATAAAAAAAATTTAACAATAAAGAAAGATATATTTTCTGATGACAATGATGTTCAATTATAAATCATCAACAGAATGACACTGAGAAAATTCTCAAATATGTGGGTAATAAATAGAACACTTCTAAATAATCTACAGTTCAAAGAAATAACAAGGAGGATTAGAACATAGTTTTTAACTAAATTGAAATGATAGGAAGTCTTAAAAATTTGTGGGATTCAGAGATTTCTCTGGTGGTCCATTTCCCAGTGCAGGAGGTTCAGGTTCAATCCCTGGTCAGGGAACTAGATCCCACATGCCATAGCTAAGAATTCATATGTGACAACTGAAAGATCCCATGTGCCACAACTAAGACCTGGCGCAGCCAAATAAATAATTTTTTAAATGTGTAGGATGCAGTTAAAGCAGAGCTTAAAGAGAAACAAATAGCATTAAGTTTTCATATTAAAAAAGAAGAAAGGAGCTAAAATCAATTACCAAAGTTTCCACTTTACGAAACTAAAAACAAGAGCAAATTAAAACCAAAGCAAGGAAATATAAAGATAAGAGCAGAAAACATTGAAATAGAAAACAAATATAGTAAGCAAAACAGAAATATAGAAAGTTGATACTTTGGAAAGATCAATAAAATTGATAAACTGATCACGAAAAAAGGACAGAGACCTAAATTACCAATATTGTGAATGAAAGAAGGACTGTCATAGAAGATCAGATATTAGAAATGATAATGTAATATTATGAACAAGTTCCTGACAATTAATTTGACAACTTAGATGAAATAAACAAATCCCTGACCAAAACTCATTCAAGAAGAGAAAACTTGGGTGGCCTTATATCTACTAAAGAGATTGTATTCATAGTTAAAGTCCTTCCCACAAAATAAAATTTGTTTTACTAGGGAATTCTACCTAAAGAAGACGCAATATCAATTCTACATGAACTCTTTCCAAAAATAAAAGAGGAAAAGAATACTTTCTGGGGACTTCTCTGGTGGTCCAGTGGTTAGGACTTCAAGTTTCCAGTGTAAGGGACATAGGTTCGATCCCTGGTCAGGGAATTAAGATCCTGCATGCCACATGGCTTGCCCAAAATAAAAATAAAAACACTTTCCAACTTGTTTTACCAGTTTTCCATTATACTGACATTAACCACACAATCCAGTGATTCTATTCCAAGGAATTTACCTGAGAGAAATGAAAACATATGTCCTCCCAAAGATTTATACAGGAATGTTTATTGTATATTTACTGCTAATAGCCCAAAACTGGAAACAACACAAATGTCCATCAATTGGTGAGTGGATAAACAAATTATGGCATATAGTGGAGTACTACTCAATAATAAAAAGGGACAAACTAGTCATAAACATGGATGAATCTCAAAAGCAATATGCTAAGTGAATAAAAAGACACAAAAGACCACATATTGTATGATTCCATTCAAAAGACAGCCTGCTGCTGCTGCTGCTAAGTCACTTCAGTCATGTCCAACTCTGTTCGACCCCATAGACAGCAGCCCACCAGGTTCCTCTGTCTCTGGGATTCTCCAGGCAAGAATACTGGAGCGGGTTGCCATTTCCTTCTCCAATGCATGCATGCCTGCTAAGTTGTTTCAGTCGTATCTGACTCTGTGCAACCCTATGGACAGCAGCCCACCAGGCTCCTCTGTCCACGGGATTCTCTAGGCAAGAATACTGGAATGGGTTGCCATATCCTTCTCCAAAAGACAGTCTAGAAAAGGCAAAAGTATAGGGACAGGAAACAGGTAAGTGGTTTCTAGGGACTAGGAATGGGGAGAGGGGGTTAATAGCAAAGAGGCATGAAGGAACTTCTGGGGATGATGAAAATGTTCTATATTTTGATTATGATAGCATTTATACATTTATACATTCCTGTATAAATTTATATATTCCTGTTGTTGGAGAAGACTCTTAGGAGTCCCTTGGACAGCAAGAAGATCCAACCAATCCATCCTAAAGGAGATCAGTCCTGAATATTCATTAGAAGGACTGATGCTAAAGATGAAACTTTGGCCACCTGATGCGAAGAATTGACTCATTTGAAAAGATCCTCATGCTGGGAAAGATTGAAGGCAGGAGGAGAAGGGGGCAACAGAGGATGAGATGGTTGGATGGCATCACCAACTCAATGGACATGAGTTTGAGTAAACTCCGGGAGTTGGTGGTGGACAGGGAGGCCTGGCGTGCTGCAGTCCATGGGGTCGCAAAGACTCGGACACAACTGAGTGACTGAACTGACTGATAGCTGATCCACTTTGTTGTACATAAGAAACTAACACAACTTTATAAAGCAATTATATTACAATAAAAAAGTGATTTTATCATACCTAAATTATATCTCAGCAAATTTTAAATCTTTTTAAGAATGTCACCATTGTGGGAGATTGGGTAGAAACTACACAGGATTTTTCTGTAGCATTTCATACAGATGAATGTGAATCTACAATTATATCAAAATTTAAAACTTTTAAATAATAAAAAAAAATTTATTTTAAGACACTTTAAAATCTCTTTAAGAGAAGGATAGAGCAGAAAATGTTACTTCTATTTACTAAAAAAAGGAAGAAAAAGGTTTATCCTATAAATCAAAGCTCAGAAATAATGTAGATCACACCCCTAGGTAGAAGTTCAAGGTAATTTACCCAGTGTTGTATTCATGTGAGACAAAGTGATGACTTCTCCTCTGAGTTTGCTCAAGATGCCATCAGAAAGCCACTGCCAATTATGATTCAAAACGGTTCCAAAGTTTGGAAGGAATTCTGCAATCATCTTCAGCAACAAACTTCAGCTTGAGATCTTACCAAAAAGGCTCATAGTGACAGCTGTGCTAAGAATCAAAGTCAAACAGCAACTATTCCAAATCTCCCAGCCGTACTTTCCACTAGTAGAAAAGGACAACCCAGGACAAGTGGCCCTTGCCTAACAAGAGACTGGTGAGCCACAAAAATACTTCCCCAAAAGTCCACGGGGACATAAAGGGCTAGAACTGTCCACAGCAGTTGGTGAAGTTCCTCTTTTAGGCTCCACATCTGCCTGGCAGACTTCCTCCCTTTGATCTGGCAGACCGGGTTCCAATAACCACAGACTGGCATCACTATGGACTAAGCAGGGGCTGCGGCATTCTGGGAGGAAGTGAAGGGGCAAACGGTTAAACAGGGCCTGAACTCTGATCTGAGCAAAAGGCTCTCCATGCATTCATCTAGAAGCTAGAACCTAACTTTCATCAGAAGACTTGAGGTTCATCCTGGCTCAGTTATTGTGGGACCTTGTGCAAATTCTGTGACCTCAGTTTTCTCAACACTGGTAGTCATAATACATCATGAGAAAGATATTAAAACATAATGAGGTCATGGTTATTCAAACGGTGGATTTCTCTTTTTCCCTAAGTCAGTGTTTTCCACAGTGTAGCACCAAGAAGGTACATTAAAAATTTTAGGTTAGACTTTTTTAAAACTTATAAACTAATTTAAAGAGCATTAGAAGAACAGAACTAGTTCATTTACCTTGCTAAGATGAAATATAGTTTAAAATGGAATCCAAGTGAAACCTATGTTAAAAATATATTAGGTTAATAATTTTTAAACATACTAAGAAGACATGGCAAAATAATAAAGATGATTAAAATTTGAGATACAATACTGCCAGCTATGAGAACCAGGGCTGTGAATTTCATCACTGGGTCTCCTGGAAGGAGCACTTGAGGCCTTTTACATTATATAACACAATACTCTGTAAGAACCCAGGGACACATTATTTTTGGTCAAAGATCAGATACAGCTGTACTTCTCTTAAGTATTTGGTTTATCTAATGGACACTGCAAACTGTATAATTGATTGTTTCCTTGTTTGCACTGAGAAGAAAGCTTAAAGCATAAACTGAGGACCAATTATCATATGTGTATAAGACTGCGTTATATTCGTTGTTTATGAGCCTCACTACTAAGTTAGTATCATTTTTAAAAATTTCTCTTCTATATTTAACTTGTCTTCTTATATTTTATATCCTTTTAAAACACCTTAAGTCTTATTTGAAATTAAAAACGAGATAAACTGTTAAATGTTCTAAGTTTTCTTTTCTTTTTTTAAAGACAGCATAGGCAAAATGTGTCAGACTCCAGGGATTGTTCTTTCTGAACCTTTTGGTGTCCCTAGGTTAATACAGGTTCAAGCAGGCTTTGATAAGAGTGAGACAATCAAATCAGCTTCATTTTAAAATTAGTCCTTGTCGAAAGTCATTCTTTTCAGTATTACATCACTGAGGTACAGAGTTTTGACTGATATCATACCTGGGTAACCCCATGGACCTTAAGAAAAATGGGAAGTGGGTGCTGTGGCGGAATTGGGCTTCCTCCTTTTTCCTCAAAAGCCAAACTTGCTGACAAAAAAGAAAAAAAGGAAAAAAAAAAAAAACAAGTTAAAATGATACCAAAATCTGGCATCAGAGCACTCAGAATACCCACAACAATGGGAAGCTATTTTATTCACAGTTTATACACTGAGTCTTCTAAACTAGCACACTTTTGCTGACTGTATCTCCCTGCATCTTTTCCAGCGTGAGAAGGGTGGGTATTTGTTTTGTATCTACCACCCATATTTTTCAATATTTTGGTTACATCCAAAAATTCAACTAGAACTAGCTAAGGGTAAAAGATAGATTGGGGTGGGGTGGGGGAGGGAATTATTACAAATTATTCATGTGAAGATTGAACAACCAAATCATTGCATAAAGTAGATCTCAAAGACCTCTGGAATCAGAAACTTAAATGCCACCAAGACCCTCTCTGGGCCTCTCATCTGTTTCATTCTGTAAGGTCAACTTTATTCTTCTTTGAATTATCCAGGAACATGGCTACTCAAAGCTTCAGTATCTCAAATCTCACAATGCACAAACCCACAGAGGAACTCAGACTTACTTTCACTAGTCTCAATCTCAAAAATGCTACAAATGGATCCAGCTGGCTAATTCTGGGTCAGCTACCCATTACTGAACCCATCAATGGTAGCTGTAAGTTTAGGTATTAGGACTGGTCTAAATTAGATCAGGTGCTGACCTGCAAGCCATTAAATACTATACATGAGAGAAATCTTTAAGAAGATAAAGCCCTCACTCAAGTCACATTTTTTAAAATTAGAGAAAGATGACAGATGGAGAAGATAGACTGTTATGGGCAGAAAAAAAATTACTATCGAGTGTTTTAGGAAATCAGAATTATTAGACAAACATACAGTTTTCATGTCAAGCAGGATTTCAAGACTCATAACAAGTGCCACCTACCCCAAAAAAACTTTCCTGCTAATTATTGCCAATTATTAAACCCTTCCCTCACTGGCCTACCCATTATGTTTATGCGAACTATAGAAAAGGAAAGTGAAAGTGGTAGTCACTCAGTCATGCCTGACTCTTTGCAACCCCATGGACTGTAACCTGCCAGGCTCCTTTGACCATGGAATTCTACAAGTAAGAACACTGGAATGGGTGGCCATTCCCTTCTCCAGGGCATCTTTCCAACCCAGGGATCAAAGTTGGGTCTCTTGTACTGCAGGCAGATTCTTTACCATCTGAGCCACCAGGGAAACCCAGGTAGCTACCAGGGAAGCTACCAGGGAAGTGAACTATACCTTCCACTAATTATATTTAATTTCTCATTTGAGTATATACTATCTTAAATTGTCTTCTAGCATATTATTTCAAATTTTTTCTTCTCTACTTGATTAGAGTAGATCATTACTTGCCTAGTGATAAAAACTGGCCATTTCTTGCTTACGTAGTCACAATGATTGGCATTAATTTATTATTGCTCCTAAGAAAGATACTGCATTTAAACTGGGGTCTGCTACACACAAAGTCTGAACCCAAGGGAGTAATTATAATTTTGGAACATCTTTGGTAGTCTAATCTACAACCCAAATACTGTCAAATCAAACATAACCTCCACCATAGTACTCCAATATTATCATCACTGCTATCATCATCAGCTTGGGTTAAACTCAGAGCAATTATCCATCCGGGGGTATCATCTGGAGCTAGAGAGGGGAGAACAGCATCACATTATGGTTAAGATCGTGGCCAAGCAGATCTGAATTTGGTTTAAGTTCTGCCACTTAGTTGTGTGACTAAAGTCAAATTACTTCATACTTCTGAACATCAGTTCCCTCACTATAAAGTGGGTGCAACAAGAATACCTACTTCAGGGAGCTGTTTTCAGGATTAAATGAAATAAAATGTCTGAAGCCTCTGGTACCTGGGAGTGTACCTCGTACACAGGAAGTGTTACTGAAACACAAGTCCATGTGCCTGACACCATGGCCAGTGAAGCCAAACAATACCAAACTGTCAGTGTGTGGAACAGAGTAAGGTTTATTGAAGGTCATGCAAGGAGATGGTTGCCTCATGCCTTAAAAACCCCAAACTCCCTGAAAACTTTCAGCAAAGCCCTTTTCTAGGAAAGCTGACGAAGGGGCATAGTTAGTTGTTGTAAACTTACTGGTGTCAGATCCTTTGTTCTTGAGGTCAGGTCATGGTCAGGTAACCATGTTCCTGTAAATCACTACCAAACGAATATTATTCTCTGCCCTGACAAGAAAGGGTGAGGTCCTGGGTACAACTTTCACCCTCTGAGGTCCAGATCTTGGCTGAGAGGAGGCACAGCTCAGTTGGCGGCTCCCTCAGGGCCAGGTCCCCAGACACTGCCCGGCTGTCATCACTGAGGGAGCCAGCACCTGGGACCCAACTGGCCCTCACATGTCTAAGGCCATCTGTATGGCGGAGGCAGGTCCCACAAACTGTGCCCCAGGCAGACGGCTATTGCTCTTAGTTCTCAGAGACAGGGACTGGGGAGAGGTTCACCACCTCCTCAAGTGTTGGGCTTGGCCAGTGGGTGACCTTGGCAAGGTCTCTGGAGGCCTGCAAGACACAGTCCCCAGCCTGTTCTCTGGAACCCCCAGCTCACCCACTGATCCAAGGCTGGGTGAAGCCTGGTGAAGCCTGGATCTGCCTCTTACCTCACTCTCTGGCTGACAACCACCACTCCTCTGACCGCTGGCTGAATGGGCCACTAACGGTCGCTGACTGACAGTTGGCTGCTTGTGGGAGGGGCCGACTGCACCGCCAACCAATGGCTGAGCAGCACCACTAACGGTCACTCATTGACAGTTGGAAGCTTGGGGGAGGGGCCCACTGTGGCATTAACCAACGGCTGAACAGGACCGATACCGGTCCCAGGTAACCGTTCCTTGCCTGCCCGACAGGGTAGGGGGCAATGGCACAGCAACTAAGTGCACAGTGCTAAGGGCTGCACTCCACCGAACTCTATTACGTAAGTGCTCAAAAAATGAGAGCATTTTATTAAAGTTGTAATTCAAATAATGTGTCCCATTCCCCCATAAACATATACATTCATCAAGATACATGACACACATGCACACAAAAGATATGTGACACAACTTTTAGTTGAAGAATACAATAATTATGTCTAAACTCTATGTGGAAGGGGCTAAAAAAATCACAATAGTATATTCAAGTGAGAGCATGCTAAGTTGCTTCAGCTGTGTCTGACTCTGCAAACCATGGACCACAGCTCACCAGGCTCCTCTGACCATGGGATTTTCCAGGCAAGAATACTGGAGTGGGTTGCCATGCCCTCCTCCTGGGGATCTTCCTGACCCAGAGATCAAACCTGCATCTCTTACATCTTCTGCATTGGCAGGCAGGTTCTTTACCAGTTGCACTACCTGGGAAGCCCTGGAGACCTTATACAAAAGACTTAAACTCTCTGTGCCTCAATTTCCTCATTCATGATGAGGCAGTTATAATAGAATTGACCTCATAGGGCTGTGGCAAGGATTAAATGAGATAACGGCTTTAGAGACTTAGGCATATGAACCTGAGCTCTTACTATAAATGTTAGGTCTTATTATCAAGGAATACCCTGGGTATTACTGAATAGTCATCATCTCAAAAACCTCTAACAGAAACTTTCAAAATACTTTACTATCATAAACTTATTTTTAGAACTAAAAGGGATCTTAGAAACTACCACATCTAAGAACTGCCAACTGTCATCTTGCAGAATTATTGTTTAGACCACACTATGATTTTTAGAAATTGAATCTGAATATCTTTATTGTGAGACTGTGCTCTCCACTTGACCACAGGCTTGCCCACTTCCAATTCCCTTGGCAGAGCCTCACATTTGGGTTACCTCTTTGATGTGGAAGGCATTTGGGTTTGGACTTCATCTGAAACTGGTCCAAGCCCTTCATTTTCCTGCTGAAGAAACAGGGGCCCATGGAAGCAGACACTCAACTGGTAGGTGCAGAATGAGGACTATGATTCAGTCTGCAGACAGCCAGGCCAGCACTTCCTCCATGCACACCAGCATCTAGAAGATCCTGGCTGAGAGGGTGGGAACACAAGATGTTCAGCTACTGTTAGAACATGTAACCCTTGGAGGCCTTGGTAGGACTTTGAGTTGCTCTTTATTTTACCATATCAATCATTACTGGAGGCTATGATAACTTTAATGAAGACCAGTGGGTCACCCTGGCAGGGAGAGAAAGAAGCTAATACCTGGAAATCAGTATTTCCAAAGAACCTGGTCTAAGATGCCCCAAGGCTTCCCTGGTGTCTCAGCGGTAAATAATCTGCCTGCCAGTGCAGGAAATGTGGGTTCTATCCCTAGGTCTGGAAGATTCCCTAGAGAAGGAAATGACAACCCACTCCAGTGTTCTTGCCTGGAAAATCCCATGGACAGAGACTGGTGGACTATAGCTCATGGGGTCGAAGAGAGTCAGACACAACTTCGTGCCTAAACAAGATACTGCAAATCCAGTCCTGAGTAAATCTGCCAGCTAGCCCTCCCTGCAACCTTATTTCCTTCCTCACATTTGTTCAGCAAACCAAACTTAACAAAGCTCAATCATTTGATTCCCAGCATAAACCCACTAAGAAGAAGGTGATATGGGGTAATTCTTTCCATTTTATTTTTGAGGAGACTGGACCAACAAGAGGTCAGAAATTAAAGTTTGCTCAATGCACATTTTGCTTTTGCCATATTTAAATGCTACCTGCACTATTTGTTTTTTTTTTATGGGTGCTTACCAATTTTCTTAAGTCAATTGATATTTAGAAGAAACTTTACTTCACTACCTGAAACAGAAAACCAGCATCCCTTGCCATAAATAGATTAATAAATACAATGTAAAATTCTAATTAGAAACGGCTTCTTGGAGAGCTTTTAAAAGTCCCAATGTTCAGGCCATACCCCAGACCTATTAAAAGAGAATTCCAGCAGGGGAAGCGGGGAGGAGGAGACCAGAAAAAAGTAATTTTTAAAGCTCTCTTCAGGAAATAGTAGTGTGAGCCAAGGATGAGATCCTCTAGAATTGATATGCCTGCCTTGTAAAACCTCTGCACCTGAGGTCCATTCTCTGTTGAAAAGAGAAATCAACAAGTAGTGGAGGGACTTCCCTGGTGGTCCAGGGGCAAAGACCCTAAAGTCCCAATGCAAGGGCCCAGGTTCAACCCCAGGTCAGGGAACTAGATCCCACATGCCACAAAGAAGATCCTACAACCTGCAATGAAGATTAAAGATCCTGAGTTCACAACCAAGACCCCGTGCAGTCAAACAAATAAGTAAATAAAAGTATTTTTTTTTTAAAAGGAAAAACAACAAGTGTGGAGAAATATTAAAGACACACTAGCCCCAAACTGAGACCTCCTCTTTAACTGCAAAGAAAAACTTTGCAATAGAAAAAAGTTCTCATTTGAGATCTGTAACTGTTTAATAGGTTGTTCCCTTATAGTCTAAAATCACCTCACCTTGCACTTGCCCTTTGGAAAACACGGGACCAGAAGACCCTAGGTGGCCTGGTTTCTATTTCTGTGCCCTTTCCACTCCCACTTCCCAGCCAAAGACTCCACCAAGGTGATTCTGGAGAACCCCTACTCACCTCTGTGTGTTCGCCAGGAGGGACTCCAAACGCCTGCATCACACTTTCAGGCCTATCTTTCTATTTCAAAATGAAAGGCCCATTTTTCAATTTCAAAAAATCCAGCTGTTCACATCAGAAAACCTTAAGGCAAAACCACATCTCTGTCTTCTTTCATTTCCTCTCAAGAAGCCCCTCTTTTTCACCCAGGAATATCTGGCCCTAGAGATGGTTAAAGTCAGCGATGCCCTTTTGGATCTTAGAAGGAAGTGTCAGCAGAAAAGATAGAACCAGGAGAGATGGTGCAGAAAGTCACGTTACTGGCAGAGGGGTTTCTGCTATTCAGTTTCTCTCTCCCCTCACCTCTGAGTACATACAAGCACACAGTGACAGCTCATCCCGATCTAAGGACAAGTCTAGAATAAAAGCTGGATTTCTGAATGGAGACTCCTGACTGCCAAGACATCATTCCCTCTCTGGCCTGGACTGGGTCCCTCTAGAGCTGGATCTCTGCACAGACTCAGGTTTGCAGACCTTCCCCCTGGAAAACAGTATGGCCTCAAATGTAGGCAGCTTGGCTCACTAAACAGAAAGTTGAGCAAAGCTCTGATCTCACTTCCTGTATTTATAACCTCAAATGCTGACACTGGCTACCACCAGAAATCCAGGCCATTTTACTGCCTTGTCAGCTGAACCCTTATCTCCTGCTTCCCTTCTACTTTATTGGCTACGCCAAAGCCTTTGATTGTGTAGACACAACAAACTGTGGAAAATTCTTAAAGAGATGAGCATACCAGACCACCTTACCTGCCTCCTGAGAAATCTGTATGCAGGTCAAGAAGCAATAGTTAGAACTGGACATGGAAAAACAGACTGGTTCCAATTCGGGAAAGGAGTACGTCAAGGCTATATGTTGTCACCCTGCTTATTTAACTTATATACAGAGTACTTCATATGAAATGCTGGGCTGGATGAAGCACAAGCTGGAATCAAGATTGTTGGGACAATATCAATAACCTCAGATATGCAAATGAGGTGTCATCTGCCACCCTTACGGCAGAAAGTGAAGAGGAACTAAAGAGCCTCTTGATTAAAGTGAAAGAGGAGAGTGAAAGCCTGGCCTAAAACTTAACATTCAAGAAACTAAGATCATGGCATCTCGTCCATGGCAAATAGATGGAGAAACAATGGAAACAGTGACAGACTTTATTTTCTCGGGCTCCAAGATCACTACAGGTGGTGACTGCAGCCATGAAATTAAAAGACGCTTGCTCCTTGGAAGAAAAGCTCTGACCAAACTTGACAGCATATTAATAAGCAGAGACATTACTTTGCCAACAAAGGTCCATCTAGTCAAAGTTATGGTTTTTCCAGTAGTCAGTATGAATGTGAGAGCTGGACCATAAAGAAGGCTGAGCGCCTTCTTATGCTTTTGAACTGTGGTGTTGGAGAAGACTCTTGAGAGTCCCTTGGATGGCAAGGAGATCCAACCAGTTCATCCTAAAGGTAATCAGTCCTGAATATTCATTGGAAGGACTAATGCTTAAGCTGAAACTCCAATACTTTGGCCACCTGATGTGAAGAACTGACTCATTGGAAAAGAGTCACTGGAAAAGAACTGACTTGCTGGGAAAGATTGAAGGCCAGAGGAGAAGGGGACCACAGAGGATGAGATGATTGGATGGCATCACTGACTCGATGGACGTGAGTTTGAGAAAGCTCCCGGAGTTGGTGATAGACAGGGAACCCTGGCGCGCTGAAGTCCATGCGGTCGCAAAGAGCTGGAAACAACTGAGTGACTGAACTGAACTGAACTGAATTGAACTGAACTGGTCCTAATTGGGCTTTGCTCAACGTGCTCAACAGTTCTTATCAATTATTTGTACATCTGCCTGCTGTTATCTTTCTAGCTACATTTTTCCACTTTTTCTTTTGTGAACACTAGACTCCAGGGTAGAAGAAACTGGTGTCTTCTGGACACTCAGCCCCTGCATTGTCCTAGCTCAATCCCCCCTCCCTGACTGTCATTCTCTTCCTTGTAACAGTTCAGCCGCCCCTTCAAATCTGCTGTGACAACGCCTCCTTCACGTATTCTACCTTCAACCTCCCAAGTAGGCATGGTCTCTACATGGCCTTACCTTCCCCTAGCAGTTCTTTTGAACTTTGAGCCCTTCTCTCA